AAATGCAAATTGCTGGGCCTCACCTCAGATCTACTGAATAAAAACCCTAAAACTTGAGGTCCTTTGCCCCAGGACAGAATGGTTCTGTGATGAGCCCAAGTGGTGACCACTGTGAAGACTGCCTTCATCACCTCATTCTAGGTGAGGAAGGGCAGGGAGCACACAGGAGCAGGGCAAAGAGTGTGGCACTGGTCATGGAGCACCAAAGACCAGGCTGTAGAAAAAACTACAGGGACCGAAATAACTCAAACGGAATTCGTCTTGAGGAATGAGTGTCTTTGAGGGGAAATGTTGGCATCATACATGGTCCCTTTTCATTTTTGTAAAGGGAATAGGTGTGTGATAGAGGGCAGGAGCAATAGCTAACTTCTTCCTTATATAAAACTGGTTTTTGGAGAGTTGTATGATACTGAAAAGAAGTCAGGGTGTATCCCAGAAAGAAAGCCCCTCAGATGAAGGCAACGTGACCTTTCTTTCTCTGTTTATCAAGTGGAGTGGGAGGGGGTTGGGGGTGCTTATTCCATCGCTCAAGTGACTTGCAGCTCTCAAAATGTTTGCAGAAGAAGAGGCAAGTGAAGGAACCATGCTCTTGGAAACTCAAGACCTAAGTGGCAGTGGTGGGCTGAGTGTGACAATCTGTTTAGTGAAAGTTGTTGGCTTTTGAGTTCATTGTTACCACAGGAGGGAAAGAACAGGGTTTCACTGAAATTTTAAATAGTCTCACTCCACTATGGGGCAAGAGATGAGTCAGACAGTTCCAGGAAGGTATCGCTGGGGCAGAAGTTGGTTGGCCAGTAATGACAATGAGATTTGGAGCCACTCCAGTACGTTGGCCCAATGGACTCTCCCAAAGCTGTGTTAGTGGGAAGGATGAACTGTGTTTGTCCCAGTAAACAATTGAGAAACTTCATCCTATCACCTTCTTGGACGCTATTTCCCAAGTACTAGCTACCAAGCTTCCTGCAAACACTTTACTTCACTTACAAATTTGTCACTTCACTTTGCAGGCAGGTAGTGAACAGTCAGCTGGATTCTTGGGCGTCAGTTACTGGTGAAAGCGTCAAAACCAGTTCACTAAGAAAAAAGTATTAAAAAATCAGCCAGACTGAGAAAGTCAGTCAGCCCTGAGTCCCTGTGGTGTTCACTGCTGGTGAAACTGTCACAATTACTCGGTTAATATTTTGTTTTCTTCCTCGTGACACCCCACCCTCACAGTTTTATTTTCATTGCCCGGGAAAAAAAAAAAATCACTGCAAAACTTTGTGATTAAAATCAGAAGCGTAAAAACTTTGCATTTTGAAGCCCTAGGAGTAAAAATGAAATACTCCATTCTTGCCTGGGTGGTGTGAGCCGCGAGGGTCATTCTGAGACAGTGCAGTTTCAGTTGCCAGCCTCGCTGAGGAACTCTACTGGGCGTTTCTAGGCCCCACATTCTAGTCTTCAGGTCTGAGGAAGCAAGCCCCGGGGCTAATGTCAGCCTCTCTCCTCAGATGCTCTGAGTCTGCTGCGTCACTACTCCGTTCACATTCTCCTCAACTCTGTCCTAACCCAAACCCCAATGCACTCTTGGCTTTCTCGGCTTGATGAGATGTCTGTCCGCTGTTTCTCCAGTGTTTGGTCTTCTTCCTGCAAGTTGGTCCACGACAGTGTTTCTCTCTGGTTGTGTGCATCACAGGAGCAAATGTTTAGGGGGTATGAGAACCACTGCTCTGCTTTAAGTTTTTTCTTTCTTTTTTTTTGGTGAAACTGGGGATTGAACTCAGGCCCTTGCGCTTGCCAGGGAAGCGCTTAATCCACTGAGCCATCTCCCCGCCCCTCCCTGCATTTTACTTCTTTGCAATAAGGATTGTGGTCCAGACTATGTCAAAATTAAGCTTGTGTTACCGCCCTAGCTCTCCAAGGAAGTGTCTGATCTGGCTGAGCTGTGGAATAGTGATAATAACTAGGATGAAATACAGAGCATCCTGAACAGTTTTATTTATTTATTTATTTATTGGTACAGGGTCTCGCTACACAGTTCAGACTCATAGTGATCCTCCTGTCTCAGCCTCCTCAGTGTTGGGATTATAGTTATAAGCCACCTGGTTTTGGTGGCTTGGGGCCAGCACAACATGCATTACCAGGGATTGAACCCTGAGTCCTTGGGCTTGCCAGGCAGGTGCTTAGACTGTAGAGCTATCTTCCCAGCCCTCTAAATGGTTTCCTTTCTTTTTTTAAATTTTATTTATTTATTTATTTGATACAGGGTCTCACTAGTAGCTCAGATTTGTGCTGATACTCCTGTGTCGGCCTCCCCAGTGCGTGTGTGCCACTACACTTGGTTTTGGCAGCCGGCTTGGCATGGGGCTGGCCTGGCATGCAGGATGGGGCATTGCACCTGGGTCCTTGCACTTGCCAGGCGGGCACTTAGACCACTGAGCTATCTCCATAGCCCTCTAAATGCTTTCTTGATGTCAGAATTTGTAACCATAGTATTATTAAAATTGAATGCAATCTTGGAATAATGTAACACCATTCCCAGTTTCTAGAGGAGAGAGCAGAGAGCCACAGAATTTAAGTGGTACGTAGGGCAATTAAACAGTGAGTTAGTAAGAAAGGCAGGCTTCAGATCCAGAAGTAGGAACCCAATGCTGTAGTCTGCTGTTTTCGCAAGCTATGCCATGTCTTTCTTGACCTACAGAACCCAGTGAAAGTCAGCCTCTCTGACTGGACCTTTCAGAATCAGGCGTTTTCTGAAAGGAGCAGTCCTCTCTAATGTTTACCCCAAGTTGCTCAGCACCTACTTATGTCAAGAGGCCAAGCAAAGCCAGCAGGGCAATCACTGTGACGGACATGGTGTAGGTCCAGCGCTGCTCCCTGACTCCTGCTCCCCCAAACCCAGCCCAGCAGCCACTCCTTCCCCACGCAGCCTCTGTACTTCTGAGAATCCCCAGGACATAGGCTAGGAGTAATATTGCACCCAGCTTTCATTCAATCAGCAGATACTATTGTCCTGCCAATTCAAGAACAGACGTGTGATCACAAAGAAGCCGAAGAGGCCCAAGGCAGGACTTACTGGGGGGCTTCTGGAAAAGAATTTCTTGAGAGCCTGTGAAATGGATGTTCCCTCTTCCTCTGGAGACTGGAGAGTAAGGGTGCAGACATGAGCTCTAAGCTGTATCAGTCAGCTCATGCCCACCTTAAGGGTCAAGCTTGATTAAACCATGCCTAAACTCCATCAACTGCTGGACTTCTCAATTATATAAGTCAGTATGTACCACCCCCCAGGACTATCTAGACGGGCACAGCCCATGTTCTCCACCACTCCTTACGTGTCGCCTCAGGAGCAGCTGAAGGAATCCATCCTTCCTACCGGTTCCCTGCCAGAGCCAGAAGGCAGAGTCCACACATGCAAGCTAGTGGAGTGAGAAGAAAGCCCAGCCTTTAGGCAAAGTCTCTGTCAGCTCCAGGAAGTGATAAACCATGCAAGAACTCGGGTACCTGCATCCCAGTTTTATGTTCTTCACTTTCCATTGTAGCATCTTATTTATTTATTTTATGTAGTTGTTCCAGAGTCTCACTGTGCAGCTTGGACTCGTGGTGATCCTCCTGCTTTCAGCCTCCCTAGTACTAGGATTATAGGCAGGCACTACCCCCCAACCCCTCATCGGCTCAGCACGCCCTGGGGGC